TGATGTGTGCCTCAGGAGATATGCTCGGTGTTTACTCACCCCAGTTCTTTTTCTTGAGTGAGGTTTGCAGACTTTGGCCATCTAAAACTATATTGTGTCTGCGGTCTTGTTTGCCCTTCCCCAATCTTCATGACTTTGCATTTGGCAGGGTTAAACTCAAGGAGCCAGTTGCTGGACCAGGCTTGTAGCCTGTCCGTCTCTTTGTAGTCCTGCCTGATCCTCATCCGATTTGATTCTTCTCATTAACTTCACATCGTCCGCAACAAGGACACTTCTGAGTCTATCCCTTCCGTTATGTCATTCACATATACCAAGAACAGCACAGGTCCTAGGACTGACCCCTGTGGAACCCGCTTGTCACAGGCGCCACTTTGACACTCGTCACGTACCATGACTCGTTGTTGCCTCCTATAAGGTATTCTCTGATCCATTGCAGTGCCTTTCCTGTTATGTGTGCTTGATCCTCTAGCTTTTGCAGTAACTCTTGTGAGGAACTGTGTCGAAGGCTTCTTGCAGTCCAAAAAATGCAGTCGATCCACCCCTCTCTCTCTTGTCTTACTTCTGTCACCTTGTCATAAAACTCTAATAGGTTTGTGACACAGGATTTTCCCCCCTAAACCCTCTTTTTGTCAATTAACACTGTTTCTTTCCGGGTGTCCACTACTCCCCTCCGATGATCTTCTCCATCCTGCATACATACACGTTGTGTACGGGGTCTGTAGTTTTGCCTCATGTCTGTCCCCTTTTAAAAAATTGGGAACTTTTTCCCACTTCCATCCCTCGGGGAGTTCCCCAAAGTTTCAAAGATGCTTGAAATTTTTTTAAGGTACACACAATGCTCTGCCCCCCTTTTTAAAGGAAAACCCACGGAGAGATTTTGTTGGCCCCAAACCGCTTTGGGGTTAAATTCGCATAGCACTTTTTCACCCCCCCTTTGGTTTAATTACCTCATCCACATTTGCTTTTGCACCCCCCTGCTTGATTTCCGGGATCCTACTGGTTTCCACTGTAAATACTTCTTTTAATTTTGTGTTGAGCTCCTGACATACCCCCCGGTCATGCATTCATTTTCGTTTTTCCGCTGACCTCCCTTCTTATCTTGGCTTTTTCTTTTTCGGCTCTTGGGCTAATCTTTTTTTTTCCCTGAGTTCTCTGTTTCGTACCTTTTCCTTTCTTTAGTACATTTAGTTTTTTGCCCCCCTAAACCTTTGGGTGAACCAAGGACTCGTTTGTTCTTCCCATTATTTCTTTTTTCCTGGGTACAAACCTCTCCTCCCTCCTTCATTTTGTTGCCACAAGTCCATATTTTTTGTACGGGTTTTCCCCTGCAGTTCCCTTTTCCACAAATTCTTGAAAAAATTCTTCAAGCCTGATAGTTCCCCCTTTTGTAGTTTGGTTTTTCCCCCCTATTCCGCTGCTCTCTCCACTTGGAGCTAAACTTTTATCGAAGCACGAACCACATGATCACTAGTCCCGGGGGCCTTTTCAACATGATACCTCGATGTCAGAACACTAAAGGTGAATAAAGGCCGTTTTGTGGTTCATCCTTCCTCTCTCTCGGGTAGCGTTTCTAACATGTTGAGATGGGGTTTTTCCAGTACCACATCCATCATCTTGGCTCTCCATTTTTTTGGGACCCCCAGGGGCTCCGGGTTTTCCAGTCAATTCCTTGTGATTGAAACACCCATAACTAAAACTTTGCTCCCCCCATTGTGCTTCCTGGCCACCTGGGGCTAGTGTGTCGCCATTGCTTGTTGCTTATCGTTTTTTTCCTTTTGGCCTCCTGCATTCTGTGGTGGTTTACATTACGCAATTATCCCCTTTATGTCCCTCAGACGGGATTGTTCCTACTAAGTAGTCCCTTTCCCCCGGGCCATCCTTTCCCTTCCATTTTCTCAAACCCCCACGGTTTTTAATGAGCAGGCAACTCCTCCTCCCCCTCTTTTTCCCTCTGTCTTTCCTGAGGATTTGAACCGGAGGGAAAGATTAAATCGTTATTATTCTGGGGGTTTTTGTTTCTGTGAGTGCTATTTGTCGGGGGATGTTCCTTGTTTTTTCTGCCACTCCCTACTTTTTTTGAAATTTCCCAAACTGCTTTTTATACCACACCTTCAACTTTTTTTCTAAGTTTGTGGTCGGGGGGTGTTTTTGGGGGGGGGGAAGGGGAGACCTAAAAGGGAATTGATGGTTGCTGGGGGGTGGAGTTTGAGCGTGGGGGGGGGCATTGGATGGGGCAGGGTTTTTGGTTTTAGAGTGTTTGGGTTGCACTGGGGTTGACCCGGTTGGGAGGTTCTATAGGGAAGTTGTGAGGGAGGCTGTATTTGATCTTCCCTGTCTGGGATCTCCTTCTTCTTTTCATCCCCTCTCTTTCCTCCTTTCGCCTTTTACCCTCTCCTCTGTTTCTGCCTTTTTGCTTGTGTTCTGTCACGGACGAGATACACCCCTTTCCGATGCCCGCATGTCCCCCTTTAAACGGCTTTCTCCGCAAATCCCTTTTCCC